GAAAAATATATATTAACAATAAACTAATATTATTGCATTAGAGGCACACTGCAGTATATTACTGTATTTCTGTGAATATTTTGATCAGTTTCCCTGAGTTCTTTGCAGTGTTTACCATCTAATCACTGCCAGAACACATACTGTCCACATGTCTCCAAGAGCCAGTGTACAAACTCACTCCATGAGCATATACTGCTCCTACAATCGTTAGGAATGCTCGTTTTAGGATTCATCTCACAGCTGACATGCCAAATATTATATGTCATAGAACTCAAATCCAATTATATACAGTTCTATGTTTTGTAGTAAGAAGTGATGTTAATCTTGGATGTTTAACTTGGTCTTCAGTGGCTTATTTCAAACTGGTAATGGCACTATCTGGCACCAAATATTATAAAGCATTCAACAAGACATTAAAACACCGGGTAGGATGATAAGTTAAAATGCAACAAAAACAAGTAGTTCAATTGCAGAGAGAAGAAGCCTGTAGCTGCTAGACAGAGGCATGTAAAATATGGGTGAGCAGGAAGTGAGGTAGGAAAGTTGTATATAGAAAGCTAGGGAGTGTGAAGGAAAATGAAAAGCTATTTAGCATGAGACCTAAAGTCCTCTGAAGATGTGTATAGAGCACAGTATACCTGGCACCAAATGTTCCATTCATTGACACCTACATTCATTGGATTCATTCACAGGTGACAAAATACAGAATACTAATTTATTTGTATGGTGGATAAAACCAAAATTCTGAATAAACCAGTACAAATGTTTAATCCAGTGGCAATGGTCAATATCTGAAGTTTGCAATCTGTGTTTGCAATTATGACTATTGAAAGGGAATTATTTTTTGCCAGGACTATTCATTATGGAATCGCCTTGGTGCAACACTGGCAAATGGAGACAGAAGTGAAGAAGCTGTGGAGGCCTATTCAAGAGCACTAGAAATACAGCCAGGTTTCATCAGGTCCCGATACAACTTGGGGATAAGCTGCATAAACCTTGGTGCTTACAGGTCAGTAAAAATCCAAAACTTATCGACTTCTGTATTATTAAACAAAACAGCTGCATGAGATGTTCCACCCCATGGTTTGGTTTTGTGTTTATATTTAATAGAGATATCAGTATTTAAATATGAACAGTATTGTGCATACTGAACTCAAACATACTTGTTCATAGCACATTGTTCTTTTTGACAGATTGTTTATAACCATGAGAACAAGAATTTGCCATTAAGACAGTGGTGGATCCAGTGAGGGGGACAATTGCCTCCCCCCGAGACCCGATGCTATCTCCTGCAGGGCCGGTGCTATCCAAGCGCCGGCCCTGCTGGGTGCCTTCAGAGATCTCCCTCACCGGTATGCAGGCACTTTGCTGGCGGCCGGCAGGGGAGGGAGAAGAGACCTGTGAGCTCTAGCAGCTCCGCCAGGTCGCCTCCCACGAGCTTGGAGAGTTGTGTAATACTCCTTTCTCACGAAAGTGAACTCTAGCCCAGGAACTGCAGACTAGAGTTCACTCTCCACTAGAACTGCCAGGCATTCTCCACTGGACCACCAGGGCTTCACAATTTATATCCTCCCACCCTGGGCAAAGGTAAGCAGGGAGGTGGGGGGATATAAAGCATATTTTTTAAATTAAAAAAACACTTATTTGTTTTAATCAGCCACCTCCCCCAACTACACACATATTGCCCCCATAGCCCCCTCCACACACCCTGCACCCCCATACACACACTGCCTCCACTGTGCCCCCACTGTCCCACCATGCACACACTTCTCCCCTATACACACACTGGCCCCACTGTACCCCCATACATACACTGCCTCCACTGTACTCCCATATGCACACTGCCCCCACTGTCTCCCGAAACAAACACTGCACCCCATACACACACTGCCCCCACTGTACCCCCATACACACACTTCTCTTCCATACACACACTTCCCCCACTGCACCCTCATATACGTACTGCATCTCCATACACACACTGCCCCCACTGTACCCCTATACACACTTCTCCCACACACACACGGCCCCACACACACACTGTCCCCACTACACCTTCATACATACACTGGCCCCACACACACAGTGTTCCCACTGCACCCCCTATATACACTGCACTCCAATGCACACACTACACCCCTCACACAAACACACACTGCTCCTCCTACACACAGTACTCCCACTGCACCCACATACACACACTGTCTCACATACACAAACTGCACCCCTTGCACACACACTGCACCTCTCGCACATACACTACCTCCCGTACACACACTTACTCTGGGAGGGCACCACGGCACTCCTGGAACCACAACCCCTACAGAGAGCTGTAGTGGTTATTGTGCCTGGATTGTTTCTTTAAATAATCTATGAGTGCTCCTCCCGAGATAAGGCTCTGGATCCGCCCCTGCATTAAGACATGTAAAGTAAACAAAATCTCATAAAAGGAACACTTCAAACTCCTAAAGCAGTTTAGCTTGCTGAAATGCCTTATATGTGAAGAGTGTGTTAACTCACAAAGAGTGTGCTCATTTTACAAAAAGTGCAGATTTAATAGACATTGGCGCTTTAATAAATTAACCTTGTTACACCCCCATGGCAGTCAATCAGCAGGCTATCTTTTTACTTCGTGGTTGGATAGCTCCAAAGAGCTAAACTCAAAAGACAGACAATTGCGCAAAGAACCTGACTTGCAAAGATTGAGCTGTATTGGGAAGTCTGTGATTGGACAGCCACAGAAAGTCTGGGCTGGGAAAGAATGGGGGGGTGGGGGTTTACAATGGCTGAAGACAGCAGATCTGCAACATTTGCAAGCTGATTTACCCACAATGAAAAAATACAGCAATAATTTCATGCATGTTTTCATTGGGGGGTACCAACTTTTGCATTTCTATTTCTTTAGGTATGTTTTTTGAATTGCTGCACTAAAGTAGTTGTGAAATACCCATTTGTTTTTTATCCTTTTTAGCATTTATGTTTTACAATGAGAACATGCACAAGACATAACGTACATTCAGATTTGTTTATGATCTATGTGTTCTTACTTGGTATAAATCTGTGTGTTATAACGTATAACGTATAAATGGATACTATGTGTCTACACATTTCCATGTGGGCTTTTTAACCTGGCGTTCTTCTTTATGATGCCGCCTTATCCTTTCTTGTATATTACAGAGAAGCCGTTAGCAACTTTCTCACAGCTTTAAGCCTTCAGAGGAAAAGCAGAACTCAGCAGCAATTCCACCCTCCGGTGATCTCAGGTAATGTTTGGGCAGCACTCAGAATAGCACTCTCCATGATGGACAAACCAGAACTTTTCCATGCTGCCAACGTAGGAGACTTGGATATTCTCTTGAGAGCTTTCAATATAGATCCTTGAATTTGATTCTGTATCTCAATGACAGTTCTACAAATGAATTGGCTAACTCTGGGAATACAGAAAGACACGATATTCAGCACTTCCACTAGATCATAGCTTGGCATATTTTTTATGCCCCCTCCCCAAAGATTGCCAAGTTATGTCTGATACAGAAAAAGCACAAAACCATGAAGAATGGTGATGAACATATTAATAAACGTTATACTCATACAAATAAATCAATGTATAATCATAAAAATAAGACTATTTTAGAGCAACAATGGATATTCATGGGTTCTGGAAAAAGATGGAGGCATTTGGCTGAAGACGAATTCTCCAACTACATGAAATACCTCTCGCTGCTTGGTCGGAGGCCTTGTTCGGAAGGAGCGTAATAGACAAACTGGGACTACGATCACATGCAATGCATGATGTGAGAGATATGGATAGATATGTGCATGAAGATCTATTTACTTCTTAAAATAATTGCTTACACTTGATAAGATCATTAGACATGTTTATAGATATTGAGTAGTTTTATTAGTACTGTTTTTAAAACTTCTGCTCTTCTGAGGACCTATAACAGTACCTCTGTGACCTAATAATGCTATACAGGAATCGGGGACCACAAGTGCTGTTCCCCCTAAGGTAAGCTGTACAATACAGAAACTTCTAAAATAGTATTATACAAAAGTCACCATCCAAGCTGCATTTGGTCCCCTAAACCTACAAAATGCATACAGACAGAATCCTTGTTTCAGGCTGGCTTGCTTACTTTAGAGGGAACACGTGCCACAACGATGAGACTGAAGTCAGGAGGTAGAGATGCTGTCTTTTCACGACAATGTGTCTTGTTCTTTGGGCTGGCCAACTGCCAAATTTGCTATAGATGACAGTGAGGATGTTGAGCGTATGAAAGAGTAAGTTGCACTAATTTTCTGAGACTACTAATTTTGAACGTGGCTATACACGTGCACTTTAGCCTTTTTTCCTTTATTTATGCAAATAATCTCCTTTAAAGTAATGTTGAAGGATTAAATAATCCTGGCCAATAAGGCACGTCGGACCAAATAATATTTTGCTTAAGTTTTTTGTACTCAAACAATGAATCCCATGTAATTTCATTTAGAACAAAACAAAATATATGTGAATCATGTACATCAACCGAAAGATGGAAACCGGTTTAATAAGTGCTTAGTTTTTAATAATATACACATGAAGAATTAAAATAGATCTTTTAAAGAACATATCTTTTTATATTTTCATATAATAGTAAGACACAATATCTTGTGTATTAAGGTAGGCCAATCAATCACTGCCAGTTTCCGTGATATCACCAAAATATTAATTTTCAATAACATTTCAGACAAAATGCATTCCGTAGATTGGCAAAGTGTTATAACACAGATGATAATTTAATAATCAATTAATAATTTAGTAATAGATTGTATATTACTTAATTCTCACCATAACACTGAGAAGACAGGATCTCTTGACTATTATTTACTAAAGATTACTATAAAACAGAATTGTAAATACTCAACACCAGAGCTATTTTTATACCTTCAAAACCTGTACTTTTTATTGTTTGCAATTCACTTCTGAAATACCTTAAATTCTTTTTCCAGATACATTTCTGGAACAATTTGTGATTGTTTTGAATTTCTTTTCTTCATAATATTTTTTTCTCTTCTGTTATGTGTACTTTCCAACAACGCATTTCAAAAGCCAGATGGGTCCTGTGTGGTCCACCCACATTTAAAGAATTAAGATATTTGTACAAACCAAAATCAGATTAATGGCGGAATGAAGTAGGAATTTCAGCTCAAATATCTTAATGGTTTATATAGACTTCAAACAAACTTTTTTCCCCCAGAAATTGCAATAATATTTCACAGCTAATATAGAGCTTTACAGAATTCGCAACTTAGTTTCCCTCTCCTCTTTCTTGAAGCCCCCAATGTTACATTTCAAGGTTTATGGCATTTATAACTGTGTAAGATATTCCAAAAACATCTCTGTACTCATAAAACTTATTCTACTTTGTAAGCATGGGAGATCAAAGTCCCAATCTATACCCTCCTGTCTGAAGTTCTCCTTTTAATCAGGAGAAAGTTTCTTTGTACCTAGATTAACAAGCATTTTTTTTACCGTCCTTGTCTCTTCCCAGACCTGTCTTACTCGTCTTTCTGATTACCTCTTTCTGCTTTGCTGTGAGACCGTGATTGCCTTGACGGTCTTAAAAATAACACTCCTTTGATTGCGTCTCTATTTTTAATTGCCAGTTTATTTTCCAACACCTTGTTCTTATACAGTATACCAGGGTTTATTGCGAATGTCACATGCTTTGAATACATCAACTGTTTGGATAAGGAAATATTTCCTGGTAGAAAACTTGTTGCTGGAAGTTTTGACGAGGTTTTGAAAGCACAAAAAATAATCTGCACATTTGAATAGTATAACTGACAGAAGAAAATACATTATTATTTCTTACCATCTCTTATTGGTACAATGAACACATTATCAGGCACTCTAAGCACATCATTTCCTCTGTCTGGTTCTTACCCTTCCAGTATTTTTCTTTTTAATGTCCCTTATCAAATTAAATAATCTTAGAATATTTACATGGTACCCCTGATATTTATATCTCACTACAATAGCTGCAATAATAACAGCAGTTTGTAGTAGTCAGGGCCCTAAAGGTGGTCTTTATGCTGTTTTTAGTTATCTCCACAGTTTTGAACATTATTTTGTTCTGACCCTACATACATGCCCTCCATACATTATAGCAACTCTATCTTCTTCAGTCCTATGAGAACCTTCTGAAAATGTGAAAATTCTACTGAAGGTGCTTTGCAAAAATGTGTTCATTATAATTGAAGAATGGGTCTCCATGATAATGCTAAGACAAAATGTAGGTGTTGGCTAAAGTGACCTCCACCAATAAATCCCCTAGTGGAGTGCTTAATATAATGTAAACTCACATTTATGTAGACAATACAATTTGTCAAGTGTTGAACATAAGGGAAGAGGAAAAAAGGAAAACAAATATAGTGTAGTATGCAAGATAACTCCTAATGAGTATTAAATACAGTAGTCACAGTCACATGAATTTGAGCCAATTTGGATAGGCTCAACTCACTTGTGCAGGAGTGTACTAAGGTGACACTTCCCCTCTTTCTAAGAAAGACCTGGGCGTGGGAAACAAAGAGCACAAAGTTACTCAGCAACCAGCAGTGTGTCGGCTTATATCAGACTCAGTTACTTCCACCTCCCATCACTGGAGGAAGCACTGTTTTAGTTGCGTGGTGCTGTCTGATGATGTAATCTTGAAACCAACCATGTTGCAGAAGAGTAGTCTGAGGGCAGGGGTCATCATGGACCTGTGATCAGTCTACATCTACACCGCCCCATATGCAACAAAACTGGGATGCAATGTGTGTTCTGGCACTTTTCTATCATGTCCAGCATTAAGTTTTTCAGCAATTCGACCTACAGTAGCTCTTCTGTGTGATTGTTCAGGACAGGCTAGTCCTCGTTCCCTATTTGCATCAGTGACCCTCAGGCATACATGACCTTGATGCCGGTTAACCGAATGGCCTTCCTTGCACCACGTTCGATAGGTACTAACAACTGCATATTGGGAACACCCCACAATACTTACCATTTTGTAGATGCTCTGACCCTATTGTCTACCATCACTATTTGACCCTTGCCAAAGACACGCAGATCTTTTCGCTTGCCTCATTTTTCCTGTTTCCAACACATGAAATTCAAGAACTGACTGTTCATTTGCTGTCCAATATATCCCACCCCTTCAGTAGGGAATATTTGAACAGAAATTTAGCTGTAAACCTGGAAGCATCACTTTTTACCAGGTTCTGCGGAACACTGCAGCTCTGGGTTGAATTGAGTTTCATATACAAAGCAAGATTCCATTTAGATAACAACTTTACTTATGAGTGAAATCCAACATTGGGTTGTCTTTGCACAACTTGAGTCTTGGAAAATGATTAAAAAATATATTTAAAGGTTAGCTTGTACAATACTTTAAATGCTATGGCTAGGACTTGCTGCTAGCTAACAGGTATTCCATCTGGCTTATATTGGCAAATTTCCCACTATTATATGTCTATCAGAGATTATTATTATTATTATTATTATTATTATTATCTAACATGTTTATTACCAGTGGCATTATATAACACAGTTCTGTTTTGTTGGTACTTCTACTGCCATTTTCTGGGGCAAGCTGGTGTACCAACTGCTACGAGTGGTCCATTATGCAGCCATGGCACCAGATATGAAACTAAAATGGAAAATATATCACAAGTAACTGAGTAAATGCTGAAATACATTGGCCACCTTGTGTGTTTTACACAGGAGCTTGTATCTGATGTATGTGTGTTAAAAAAAAGTTACATATGTTACTTTCCACAGTCATGTGGAATGATTGCATGTTGATATGCATGTTTGTACACTGTTTGTTAATATAAAGTTGATTCTATGCACAGAGATATATGAGGTTACATACATAAGAAAGATAATATGTATCTATCTTTGTTAAAACAGGTAACATATGGCCCAAAAATGCCATATAGTGTTTGTGCTATATGGTGTAGTATCAGCCCTCATAATTTTCAGAACAGTCTCAAAATATTGGCAATGCTATATTGAATATAAGAAATGTACTGATCGTGCATTATATTGAATGCTGAATGAGTTTGTCAGAGTTCAGAAAACACTCCAATGTAGAGTTACGACTTAGCGCCCCGATTGCAAAATGAGGATTTATTTATCAGTATACTTAACTGTTCCTATTATTAGTTCACTGCCAACATAACTTACACCCATATAGTGTGTTCTTCCATACTAAGCTAAAATGTTAATAAGAATAAATAATCTGGTGGCCTTAACATTGCACATCCATCATTTTTCCACAACTAATAAGAAATATTTTCTACAAAAATTACATAATACTACACAATATAAAGCTCTAAAAATCAGTAGTGCAACAACTCTTGTAGAGCACTCAGGCACTGCCTTCCAACGCACTAAAAAATTTGTGCTGGCCTTGCTTCCACTGCAACATATTGGTTATAATACATAGGTTTTATGCCTAGCAGATCTTTTCACTCAATTAAAAATTATTAACACTGGTAATCGGAATCTAGAGAAACAGTATAGATTAAACTTGTTAATTTCAAGAACTACCAATATGTTACTCTTCTGATGAGAATGGTGCGATAAGTTCAATTTTCTGACACTGGGTAGATAAATTATTTGGGGGAAAGCTGCAGAGGGGAATTTTAAATTAATCTTTGGTTCTGTTGACCAGTATGTAAATGACACAAAAATTTTAAAGTATTGTCCCTTATTTTCCCTCTTTAATAAAGCACTCCATTGTCTTTAAAAGCCATGTATCTATATCCGACTTATTTATGAATGCATTTTCGTGAAAAATCCAACATTTTACATTTAGCATGGTATTTCTATAATAGAGTAATCAGAGTGATATTTACAATAATAAATCTATATTTTTAAAGTATGACTACTTTGATGGGCCACGGCATCCAAATTGTATAAAGATTAGTTTTTTTGTAAAGAGAATACGACAATAACCTCAGGTACCACGCATGAGTTCGCATTTGTGTCTTTTCAACATATTAACCCAAAGCATGCATTAAAATTGTATTTAAATGTAAATATAAGCATCATACCTGATTAAATCACTGAGATAATAAAAACAGTTTCACTTTTAATTGTGTGTTTTGTGTCTGTCTTTTTCTTATATTTTTTATATCTATATATATATTTTTTCGGAACCTATCACCAAGGTTTATTCTGTTTATCTTTATGCCAGTAATGATATTTGAGTCTGTTTGTCTATGTGTGGTTAATTACAATATATGGTTTCAAAAAGATTGAAACCTTCACGGCTGCTAATGAGTCATGATGTTGATACACTTATCACGCTCTTTTAATGTTTTTTGACATTTACTTAACATTATCAGTTCAATGAAATAGGTAGCCAATATTAAGTAATCACAATCTCTCCTAAGAAGAGTTATCGACAAATTAAATTTGCAAAGTGTGTGCATGTGAGCAGAATTAACACCACTAACACCCTGAGTAAATGGTTATGTGTGCAAGCAACATCAACAATAATTATTAATCAATTAAAGGATGAATAAGCATGATAACAAACTAAGATGGCAAAATTGCGGAAGTGTTAGATCTGAACACGCTTAAGAAAACATAAACATATCGATATAGATTTGGGTTAATGACAGTGATTTCAATAAATCAGTCATTTTGTTATACATTATACATTATTTCTATACACACATTTGCCTGTGTAATCAACTAAGAAAAATTCCTAAATGTGATTTAATTAGTTATATCATATTAGTGGCGTACCCTTTTTAAATCCTTTTATTACATTATTTCTAAATATAAAAAAACAAAACTTTCTAGCCTTTGTAAAACTTTAATCTTCATCTAACATGTAAATATTCATTTATTATCTTATAACTAAGTGTATATATAGGTATATATCCTCTATTAGAGGTTTATATTGCGAAACTTTTAAGTTTAAGTGAACTCGTGTATATCACCTAATAAAGCTACCATCCTAGAATACTTTTAATCTGCCTTTCTATTCTCTTTGTGTTAAACTTCTCTGTTATAAACTAAGTGTTCTATTAAATTAAATTAACTTTTATAGTGACAATTCTTTGTATCCCTTAGTTAACACCATATCATTCCCCATCATTCCCCTCTCCCCATCTCCAAACTCTCCCTAACTTATTTTCAATGTTACAAGCATTTCTTATTTTTCATCCATTCAATAGCTTGTTCATGGATATGAAATGTATACCAATTGCTTTTATACATAATTCTTAGGGAAGTTGGAAATCCCCATTTAAATTTTAGATTTTGTTGCTTTATAATTGGAAAAATGGAGGAAAAAGATCTTCTCTTTGCACGCGTATGGTAAGAGACATCTGGCATTATTTTTAAGTCCTTAAATTTATCTTCCAATTAATTACTTCTCTTGAATGCTTGTATAAATCTCCATTTACAATCATAAGAATGGAAAGCCACTATAACATCACGTGGAAAATGTTCTAGCGTTGAGCTATAATGTGGGAGTCTATGGCATCTGTCCATTTTCTGTTCATGGTTATCATTTGAGACTTCTAAGCATCTGAACGGTTCCATTAAGAAATCTTTTAATTTGTTGTCTTCAATATCTTAAGTTTGCTCTCCTTGACCTATTTTCAAGGTCATCTATTTTTTCTTCTAGCTGTATTATTTTGGATTCCATCTTGTTCTGCTTTTCTTGCATGTCTTGGAGCCGGCTCCTTCTCTGTTCTTTCATCTTTTCCAGATTTTGAATTTTCTGATTAAGAGACAAGTCATCTGATTTCAGATCTATGAATTTATTATTTATTTCATTTTTTGAGATCTTTGAGTACTATATCTAGACATTCTTTTAGGAAGCTTGGAGAGACAGTGTCACTTTCTGCTGCATGAGGCTATATGCTTTGAGGTAGTGTCAGAGTTGTACCTGCAGTATTTTTTCCCACTGTTTCAGAATCTTCTATAGGAAAAAAAGGATGAAAGCCTTTTTTCTTGTTTTTGTCCTTTTTTCTAAATTTTTAAATTGGATTAATTTTCTTGCATTCTCTTGGATGTCATTTTTACCCTCTTTTTTAATTTTATTTATAATTGCAGCTCTTGTTCTTTGTAGTTAATATAACAGGGTCAAGAATAGAGCTGTTGCTTTGATTCTTTCTTTGTTTTGTTTCCTTAATGTGTCACACTTTTAGAGGGATATGTCTATGGATATTCTTCTTTTTAGGTAGTGCCTCATTAACTTAATCCCTTTGTCAGTTTCAGGACGTCTTTCACTTTATTTGTGCTTTTAACTTTAGCCCACAAGTTATATGATAAAATACATTTGTACCTGATTATTTCTGTAGCTATAAGCTCTCAACAGCAGTGACTCATACCTGGCAGATCTGTTTTTGCCTCGATAAAGTACCTCTTTACGATCTTTAAATTCCTCCAGCAACCCTTTTTGCTGTATCATACTCTTTGAGATCAGTCTGGGATAGTAGTGCACAATGGTGTTCGCCAAAGCCCCTGTGTTAGTCATGTTCTCTCCTCCTAGGGCTAAGCGTCTCAGCATGCCTCATCGGCCACTTTCTCCCTTCCTCCCCGGAGTCCCTTAACTTCCGTGTTTCGTGTTGAAGCGGTCCCCTCCCCTCACGACGTGCGCGTGTTACGTCATCACGCCCATAGATGGTTTACTTGTGGCACTTATTACTTTTACTTTAACACTAGGTATTTTAAAGAAGAGTCATGAATGACTCAAACAAAAATACAATTCATGGCAAGCAGAATAAGTGTTCCACAGTCATAGCATCCTAGTCACCAGAGTAACAGGTAATCCCACTGTCTGATTACAGCTATAATCAGGCTAAACCTGAAAGTTCCTCAGTTTAAATCCTCTGGGTATTTTCCAGTATATTATTATACCAACGGAACAGCTGTGTATTATTTAATGAAATTCATACATTCAATAGTGTTTGATCTTTGATTTCTAAGCAGTTACTGTTGAGAAACTGCTTATGAGATTGTAAAACACATTCAGTCTCTATCGCTGTATTTTAATATTTTTCATGCTATCATTTGATCATAACATACAGCTACAATAGGGCTAAAGGTGCTGCAGGGATCCAAATATGGACTGCCATGTAAACCACTAACTAATCAGTTTTTAAGGACCGTTTTTATAGCCTGTTGTAGATACATTAATACATAGTCATTGTTTTTCAATGTTTCAGCTTCTGCAGTTCCAAAGTGCGAGCTCTGGGATATTTAACAGTGGACCCTTGGATGTTATTGGTCTACAACACCCAGAATTCACTGTAAGCCTATGGCCGACCAAAAATTATTAGAGTTGTATTGATAATCCAACAGTGTGTCAGGCCAAGTTTGTTTGCCCCTGAGGACGGTGTGGTTTCACGCTGAAACGCGCGTTGGGCTTTTCATTATTATCTCCCTTTTGGAGCACACGATGGTTACTTTTTTATTTTTGTTTCTATTTTTGATACTGAGGTAGCATTATAGGATTACAGAATTGTCACTTCAGATTCAGCATTTATATAGAACACCCTCGAAGGTGTTTCCAGGCGTTATAGGGTTTATCAATTGGGATGCCCCATTTTTGTCTCTTCAGTAATTAGAGAGGATCTTACTTGATTTATTTTTCTGACAGAGACTCTACTTATATTATTGATTTTGTCAATATAGTAGTTACTTATTTACTGCTATCCTTGTCATACCCTTTTCTCCTTTTACAACTCTGTAGTGTTCCTGCTCCTGTTCCCTGTGTTTAGGGATTGTTTGCTGCCTTTTCTACCTTTTTATTGGATTTTTGTCTTTCTATACTAGGCTATTTTCAGCTAGGGTTGGACTTTACTTCCATTAGCTGGTAACAGCAATTAGGTAGGATCAGGCTGTCATTCATTATTGCTTATTTATCCTATTTTGCTAATACCATATACTTTTCTGACCTGATATAGTACGTATTATCTAGGCATCTAGTACCTCTCCTAACTGTTGCCTTCGGTCTACCAAGTTATACTCTATGGTTTACCTCAGTATTTTCAGTATTACTAATAAAGTTTTTGTTATTTTCTTTTAAGACCTTTTTTTCTAGATTGGACTGGGATTTTAATCTAGTGGTCACTCTCCGTGAGAGTGGTCTCCTAGGTTTTTCTTCTATGTTTATAGTGTGAGGCCAAGTGTTAGTGACAAAATTTAAACTTTGAAAATATTTGTTGTTGTCTTGCTGTACTGATATAAAGTGGCAAACTGTAATGTATACTTTCCATTATTTCACTTCAAAGTCGTCTATATATCTAAAAGCGTAGGCTAATTATTGATGTACCCTGCAGCTTTTGATGTGTTACTTTCTGAAGGTAAGGACAGTTCCGGGAATGCTGTTTTCATTTATGATTTAGAACAACTTTCCCTTCTGAAGTCACATCGGCATCAAGTAAGTAGCCGCAATGTGCAAAACATTAAGTTAGCTGATGTGCGTAGAGGTGCAATGTGTCAGTGTGTTACCAGGAAAAAAACACAGCATGATGCTGACAACATGATATAAATAAATTATGACAGCAGGAAGATAAAAGGATGATGAGATGGATTGAATGTAGTTGGTGACAAGACAGACAGATTTAAAAAAAGAAAACTGAAAGTATGCTCAGACTACTGACAATGTAGCTTTTGCTATATGGGTAAAATATTACAAAACCACATTCATATCACAGAAGACTAAATCAATGTTCAGAGCTCTGTTATCTGTTTTGTACGTTATTTATTTTTGTCTCTCACTGTTTCGATGCTTGGAGATAAAAATATAACTTTATTATGTGGGGAAAAAAGAAAAAATTTAAATTAAACAGAAGGCAAAAACTGTTGTAATTCTGGTACTAAATACAGGTTCATTCCATAGAAACTCAATCAGTGAAATTAATGTAGTTTAATAAGAGCATCCACTAAATATGTTAAGAAAATATGAACTTAATAACTACATTACACTAAAATAAAGAATGAGCAGAAAAAATAGCAATGCGTGGATTGCAATCACAACCTTAAATCTAATGTATACAGGATGAGCAGAAAAAAAATCATATGAGAATTCAAACTCACAACCTTTGCATTACAAGCTTAGTATTCTACCTTAAGGCTACTTCTAAATGGGAGTTGCAGACTGGAAGCAATGGCCACCAGGCCACCAGGGAGCCCACTGGACCACCGGGTAAGAAAAGGTAGGTTCTCTCTCACCCCCTCACCATCACCCTCCCTTCAGCCTCACCACCCCCACCACCCTCAGCCTCACCACCCCCCTTCACCCCTCAGCCTCACCACCCCCCACCACCCTCAGCCTCACCACCCCCTTCACTCAGCCTCACCCACTTCTCCCACAGCCTCACCTCCCTTCACCCTCAGCCTCACCACCCCCCTCACCCTCACCTCCCACCACCCCTCAGCCTCACCACCCCCACCACCCTCAGCCTCACCCACACCCTCACCCCTCTTCATCACCCCCCACCACCCTCAGCATCACCCCCTCAGCCACCCTCACCTCAGCAGCCCACCCCACCACCCTCACACCCTCAGCATCACCCCCCACCACTCTCAGCCTCACCACACCACCACCCTCAGCCTCACAGCCCCCACCACCCTCAGCATCACCCCCCACCACCACCATCAGCATCACCCTCCCCTCACCACCGTCCAGCCTCACCATCCTCACCATCAACCCCTCCCTCACCATCAACCCCTCATTCTCACATCACCCCCTTCTTCCTCAAATCACCCCTCCTCTTCTCACATCACCCCCCTCCATTCCTTCTCACATCACCCTCCTTCTCACATTACCCCCCTCTCACTCTCACATTACCATCACCCCCTCTCCGTCTCACCATCACCTCCCTCTACCTCTCACTATCACCCCTCTCACATCACCCCCACACCATCACCTTTCTGTCACCATCACCCGCCTCTCCCTCTCACCATCATCCCCCCATACACACAACACACTTCAAGCAGCTACCCCATAGACATAGGGTTTCAGACAAAAACGCAAACATGCTCACAGAGACATACATTTACACACAAGGATACTTTCTGTCAGACACACTCTCATGCACATACACAGGTAAACTGTGCATCAGTGTGTATATGTGACACTTTTTTGTTAGTGGGGCCTCATGTTTGAGTTTCGCCTAAGGCCTCATAAAGTCTAGAGCCGCCTCTGCTGGACAGATTTCCCAAACGCCCTGAATTCTCCACTTGCCCAGCTGCTTTCAACACCTTATCTAGACAGCCATCAATCAGTGAGTAGAGTTTGTGCTGTAGTGGAAGAAGGGGATGGGAAATTATAGCACTGCGGTACTGGAAATGTGCACTTTAATCTTTAAACCAATAATTCCAGCATATTTACTTGTAACCTGACCTATACATTGCCCCTAAGGGCTTGGGCAAAGGTGAATGCATTGCTACTTTATATGGGCCAGAAAGGTTTTTATTTTTCAAAGTGGTCAATATTCAGTTTTCTATTACATAGGAAATCAATTCTCTTACTTGTTGGCTAATTAACATATAACATACACTCTATCTTTTCTCTTTTCATGTCCAGCTGCTTTTTCCTTCTCCCTCTGCTTCTGCCCTCTGACATTGCCACGAGAATTAAACCAATGGCTCTGGGGGTAGGAGGGGAGAAATTAGTTATTAGTAGTTGAGAAAGGGCACAATTGTTTGACTTTCTTGTTTGTTTTTTATTGTGTTTAGGTCGCCTCACCAATCCTGATCAGTACCCTGCCTCAAGTTCTGAAAGCAGATCAGTCATAGACATGAGCACTCTTGGCAGTAGTGCAATGAGACATAAGAGGAGGACATTTCTTTGGTCCTCTAACTAGGTCAGGGATGTATGGTTTTCAACTATGTTTACAGCATATGTGTATATTTTAATTGTTGCATGATTTGTCTGAGAGGAAGGCTGGGCTCATGAGAATGATAAATGAGGGAGAGAAGTAATGTGCTTAATACCCCACATAAAATAAATATCTTATCTGATCTGGTAAAAAGGGAATGTATTGGCATTGCTTTTATACAAGAGATGCATTGGAAAAGAGAAGAGAAGATAAGGTGGGGATATAAGCTATATGAGGAAGTACATGCATCCTTGATGGGTAAAAAAAAAAGAGTGGTAGCTATAATTTTCTCAAATAGGGTTCAGAAAGAGATAATTCATTCAGAACTAGATATTGAAGGAAGATTTCAAATTTTGGTTGGTAAACTGAACTCTCAACTGTATACTTTTGTTAATCTTTACCTTCCAAATATTCTGCCAACCAAATGTTTAAAGAACGTAAAAGAGACTCTACAGAAGGTTAACATGGGAACTTTGGTTATGGCCGGAGATTTCAACTGTGTCCCAAACGTATTCGATAAAGAGATCAAACACAATCGTAAGGTGAATAACCAAATTAAAAACCAATCTAACTCCTTAAATAATATTTTGAAAGAAAACAACCTATTAGACATATGGCGGGTAAATAATACATCCGAAAAACACTATATGCATCTAGCTAGGGTACACCAATCCTTTTCTACGATCGATTTAATATTAGAGGAAAATAGCTTGGTGGAACAGACTACCAAAATTTTGCTAAAAGACCATCTGTGGGCAGATCATAGTTATATTACATTTCAAAAGTATATAAGCTATTTCGTACATGGTGCCTTGATGATAATATACTTTGTAAAATTGACAACCAAGAATACATTAAAAACCTTATGGAACTATATTTTAAAGAGAATGTAATGGAAGGGATGTCTCATGCAATGTGTCGTGCTTTTAAAGCCATAATGAGAAGCTACTAGATTAAACTTAAAAATAAAATAAACAAGGAAAGGGGGGGCACTAGAACAGAGTTATGTATAGTATAATAGATCAAATTGGTTTTGTTTCAAATAGACAAGCTTGTTTTAATACCAGATGCATGATTGATATGATGGATTGGGGAGAGAGTAGTGGCAATCCCTTCTGATCCTGTCATTGGAAGCTGAAAAGGCATTTGACATGGTCAGATGGGGATATATGATTAAAGCTTTGGAAGCATTTGGTTTCTGTGGATGGATAATGAATGCAATAAAATCAATATATCAATGTCCAACTGCTGGAGATTTATGCTCTGAATGGTTTGATTTGAGTAATGGCCCCCGTCAGGGATGCCCTCTCTCATCAATGCTATAGATATTTTCCATGGAGCCATTTGCCACAAAAATAAGAATAAATCCATCTATTAAAGGTGTTCCAACAATTTTGAATGATTTGAAACTATGTTTGTATACGGACAATACGCTAGTTACTTTGTCTGACCCTATAATTTCTATCAAATATTTAAAGAATGAGCAATTCAAGAAGATTTCAAATTATAAAATAAATGTTAAGACGACTGCCCAGAGAGTCCAGCCAACAGTCTTCTCATGTGTATGTGTAATATTATCTATGTATGTATTTGGTATGATTTGATATGTGTTTGATTGTATATTTATGTTTTTGCAAACATTAAAGAGAAAAAAGAAGACGAAATTCTAAGCACCCACCCTTAACAAATGAATAAATTCAAGATTGTCAGATTGGACAACCCTGGTCCAAATGGGAAAACTTTAAAACTGTGAAAGCAATAAAGATATCACATCAAAAGACAACTGCTATGATAAGAATTCACAGATTCTTTTTTAAAGAATCCTCCAATTCCACAGAGCTATGAAATAGAACCCTGACATACATTGACATACAGTGAAACATTCCAAGAACTATAATATACCAAAATAAAGTTATACAAAATAGATTCTAGGCACTAATTGCATGGTTATAATTTAGTTGCCAACAGGGAGAAAAAGTAAAGATGATGATTGGAAGAAGAAGGCCAAATTGAGAGAAAAGTTCATAAAGAAAAAAGAGAAATTAGCTTGATAGAGTGGAAACCTTATAAAGGTATGAGAGGTAGTTTGTAGTTGAGTGGGCTTCCCTAAACAGGTATATTTTAAGCTGGAGCAGTAATGTGGACATCGATTAACAGAGAGAGGCATGGATTCAGGAAGACAGGTGGACACATGAAAGGTGTTTAGAGAAGAATAGAGACATCAGTCATTAAGTTCCTCTATTCTATGTATGGTTTCTTTCCTACACTTGTAGATATTGTGTCTTTGTAATCATTAAGTTCAATTTGAGGGAGATATATTTTATTTTAGATGGATGTCCCTTTTAATTATTAATATTTTTTAAAGCAGCCGTATTATTTATGAAAGCAGATGACAATTCAAGCTGAATGGGGAAACATTTTCATTCATGTGAATTGCTTAAAGGTACTGTTTGTCTGAGTTCCATGTCTCATTTGACTGCGTTTACTACAATCTTCTATAAACAGATGGCCGTTTTAAAAAGCCCAGTTTCTAGAATTTAAAGTAATGAACAGGCAAGATTTCCAGCCTTTGGCTCTGCCGAGCGGGAAGTGTTTGCATCTGGCACTGCAAATGTATTTGTGTATTTGTGTAAAATGTGAAATGTTCCATTAACATATGCTCAGCAAAGGCCTCCTTATCCTCAAGCACTGATTAAGTTAACTATCTGAATGCTTAAGATTGACAAACAGCATCTTTTAAAGTGACCCTATATATTAAATGAATCCACTCACTGCCAAGTAATTATTTCTTTTGATATCCGTTCATGAAAAAAAAACTTGTCGGGCATAATACATGGAGAAAAATTCATTAGGAAAGATACGTTTGGCATTGAATAGGGTCAGTGGCCCAAATTTAATGCAATTTCACAACATTGTGTCTGTCTATCGGCTGGGTGGAATCCCAGTCAGACCGCCAGATATTGTTCAGACGACCAACAGGGTTATTTACTAAAGAATGAATTGTGTGGAACAATTCTCCAACTCGGTTATAGTCTCAGTTTGACTATTTTAGCCTAAATTTGCCATTTCAATTTCAATTTCCTACAATTCAGGTTTAATGAAGAAAAATCCAAGTAAATCCACAAAGGGAATTTGCAACTTTAGTATAAATGTTTATAATTCACTGATCCGTTCATCAATCGGCATGCTTCCTGGTTAGTGAACAAACCCTTGAATTATTTTTAGGAAGTCCTAATTTTTAAAAATAATTTCAAGAGATGTGGAAAGTTTTTTAATACAAGTAAGAACGTTTGTACATTTAATGCACAAACAATAACAAAGAAAACACAATTAACATATATGTCATAAATCGATTATTTTCAAGGAAACAGGATTCACATCTAGAGTCTACAGTGCTATAGGAAATTAGTCTTTCAATAATTTTAGTATTCAGTACATCATATACCCACTGCAGGTCAGATTTTGGCTCATATTTTTATAGTTTTATAGTTTTTTTTATAGATTACTTTTATTGTGTAAGACAAAAAAAAAATCTTTCCTTGGAGTCTGTAAGCCCTCCAGTATCTTAGGATTTCTCTAGTTACAATGTAAAAAACATATTTGCCTTACTGAACAACATTCCATATATAATCCTCTTTTGTCAGAATCCCCAGTGGCTGTACATGAAAATGGACACTGTAGTCAAAAATACAAAACCTGGGGATAATGATCACTTAATTTTGAATTTTACTTTTTATTGTATGTATTGTGGTTTAGTGTAAAGTGACATTGCCAGTATTTTTTTCTTTAAGTTTTTTTTTTCCTTATACCTTTTAAAACATATTTACTAAAGTGGCCAAATCAAAAAATTCTCAGAAATATTTCTGTTTTCAGTTTGACTATTCTGGTCTTAAATTTGAAATTCATTCTGAATTCCTTTTGAATTTCCAGCAATTCTCATTTTAGTGAATAACCATCCCTTGCCACTTTAATTATTTTATTTTTTTCTTATATTTTTCTCAATATCCAGGCACTGCCATTTTGTCCACGATTTCTACAGTTTACGTTTCAGTGGGATTATTTTGAATAAAGAATTGTGGGTATATTAAAGGGACACTGTAGTCACCAGGACAACTAAATCTTATTGTATTTGTTCTAGTGAGTATAATCAGTAGATGTTTTGCAGTAAACACTGGGTTTCAGAAAAAATTCAAGATGGTGGAGGAGGGAACAGGAGACCCAAGAACAACGCATTGGCAACTACACAGTCCAGGCTGGACCACATTTTCGCAGAGTTCCTGTCCCGTATAGCAGCAAGGCAGCAGAGAATCCAGTTTCCTCCACATTCACCAAATGACGGTAAAGCCCCCTACCTATACAACCGTGAGCGCTCCTACTGTGAGAACTGTTGCTAGCCCTATTAGCAAGCTGAAACCTCTTTCTACCTGGCTCATGTATGTAGATTGTAACATTGCTTATATTTCTGGAGCAGAAGAGCACTGGACTGAGTCTGTGGGAGTTTGGAGTTGGACTTGGGCACAGAGACATGTATATGCCTCTTACATAGTTTACCAAGATGGCAGCTGGTGCATTTGGGAAGTCTTATGGAAACTGAGAGCAATGCAGGCTTTATTGATCTACATGTGTCACTTATATTGGGACTACACAGCTATGGGACAGTTTTCATCCTGCAACTTTGGAATAGGATTAATGCACGCTGTATTCCTGGCTAGCATCAAGTGTAGTGTTATTTTGTTTTATATTTGATGTCTCTTTCCAGGGTGTTATCCTGTTTTAGATTTGTTTATTCAATCGCAAATTTGTTTACCCTGCTTTGAAGTTTACCTATTCTGAAATATTCTGAAATGCTTTCCTATACCAGCTAGGCCTCTACCATATGATGTATATGACTCTTCTAAATAGTGTGTCACACTCTGGTTTTTCTTGTTGTGCGCTATATGCTATCATATCAATAAATAAAATGTAGACATACGAAAAAAAAATTTAAATAAAACATTACTTAATTATACTGCAAGCAGTTCTTAAGGATCCAGTGCATATTTATGTTCTAATTACATTCCCTGAACCCTTTGTGCCAACATGGAATACTCAGAAACTACATAAGTGAGAAACTCTATTTTGACTTTGTAAAGATTCAATAGTTATGGTGGAATTACAACATTCTTGGTTGATAACAGGTTGTTCATTACGGTTGAAGGAGGTTAAAAAACAAAAACACTGAGCGCGGTACTACCACTCAGACACCATCACATAGCCTGTAATAACCCAGCTTTCACATATGCAACTCTTGAACGCTGTAACTCTGTTGAACTCACAACAACGTCCCAGGAAACTATCCTGCTCGCGCTAAATAGCCTACTCATACACAAACGTTGCCCTTACGATCTGTCTAGCAAGCACTACAAGCATAAACCTACGTGTTCCTACACACATACAAAAGTCAATTCACTTATCTTGAATCTACTGTCCAATCTAGTTACTATATAGAGTTTACTCATGTTATGCATAGTCAGTCTCATAAAATATTACAAAATGTGCAATGTTATTAAGTGCCTTACAATTGTTTACTTGTCGATCACTTGGCTGGCAATAGCTGTTGTGGAATTGCTCGTATCTATGTAATCTATATGCACGATAAAATAAAGAATTTTAAAAAAAATAAAAAAATAAATAAAAACAACACAAAGTTTAGCACACAAAGAGAAAAGCCATAGTTGTGAAAAAAACTTTTTAATTTAAAACATTTGCAATATTATACTTTTTCCAGAATAAAATGTTGTTTCATTTCTTGCAAT